TACAAAGAACAAAAAAAAAAAAAAAAAACAAGAAAAAAGAGAAGAAAGTGTAGTAATGCTAATAGGAACTTATAAAATTAACATAATTGTCGCGAAAAAGACTTCATTAATTTATGATAAATTATAATTTTAATTCAATTCATTTCATTAAATATCAATCAAAATGTCTCATTAAATGATTACTGTTAATTGCATAAATTATTTAACAATGAAAAATATGACTTTAACTGATAATATTAGAATAATTTAAAAACAAAAAATTTTTGATACAATTTAAAAAACAAATGTAATGTAGAATTTATTTTGTTTCAATTGACAAATTTTTTGTATTTTATTCCAATTAAATTTTATACTAACATTAAATTTTGAGGTTAGGAATGCATTTGAAAATTAAAATTTGCATTTGAAATCAATTTATCAGAAAAAAAGGGAAATTTTTTTCATTTAATAAATATAAATTTGACGATGACGTTGAATTTAAACTTTTGATAGAGGAAAAAAGAAAAAGAAACAAAGTTGAATTCCTTGCACTTTGCAATCTTAAAAGGTTTTTTTTTTTTGGAAGAAAAAAAATGAAATAAAACAGTTTGTTTTGAAAGAAAAATAATGGAATAATTATATGCAAATATTTGAAAGGTTTTCTGAAATATTACAGTAGAAAAGATAGGGAAAAATACGGTAGAAAAGACCGTAGTTTTTTGATACGGTAAAAAAAAACAATTTTTATTTTCACAAAAAAAAAAATAAGAAAATTTTTCAAAATATTACCAATAATAATTAATGATACTAACCTGATTATCCAATGAAACACATCCTGTAATGAATGGTTCTAAATCATCGAAAAATACGATAGCAATATGATCAATAAGTGTACGATCATAACCTTTCCTTTTAATATCACATGCTCGATATGGAAATACCTGTAAAAGTTATTACTGTAAAAAATTTTTATTATCATATCATATCAGAAGATATTATTAAAAAAAGAATGATAATAAATATATGAGAGATAATTAATAGTTTATTACATGATTACAGTTACTAATTAAAATAACAAAAATTGAAAATATTTCAATACTATTTTCAGAAATTGTTAAAATTAATTCAAAATTTTAATCACAAAAAAAAAAGAGGCAATATTGATAATTTCTGCTAATCAATATTTTCTGATAATTTATTTGAAACCATAAAAGAAATATAAACAATGGAAAATATAGGCTAAAATCGATAAGCATAATAAAGCTTTTACCAATTAGCATAATCCAAAAGGATGTTTTAATTATTCTCATGAGATTTAAGTTGAAAAATTTTTAATTTGTTTATTTTCCTCAAATATCATAATATCATATATTATATATTGATGTAAAAAATATCGAAAATATGCTTTAATCATTGATTTTTTTTCTTTTTCTTTTTCTTTTTTTTTTATTTTTTTTT